GCGTGTGTTCTCGCCGGCGCAACACAGCCTAACACTGTTAATTTCAACGATCAAGGTAGAAAATCGAAAGCCTTAACGAGAACAAAAACACGTGATTGCGCCGATTAATGCAATTTTGCTGATGATGGAATGCGAGTGAAAGGGGGATGCATTGTCAGTAATAATCGGTCCGAAGTGGATTAGTATTAATTACGTAAATTGACGAGAAAGTCAATGGGTATAAGTAACAGCTTGTAGAGATAATAAGAAATATGATATAATTGATATAGAAACTATTAAAAGAATTACTCATATCAAGTGTACAAACAAATCCACATAGAATATACATAGATACAGATAGAATACGTAGATATTATCTTGATAATGCACTTTTTTCAGCGTTTACTTATCAATTAGTGATAATGACAGAAAGTTAACAATGAAACTGAGGCGCCTAATGCAGTAAAGAATCAATTTTTGTTCGTCGAACAATGAACCTACTGAACGCAAGGTTTGAATGATGTACGAAGAAGAATTTGAGAATCGAGATTTTTATCCAGCAACGACACAACGACGTGCACAATGAACGCTCGAGAGTGTGCACGAGCGAAAGGGAAACAAGGGAAAGTGGAAGACGCGGGCAGACAGGGAGGAGGACGAGTAACCGTACGAAATCCCGGGAAGAAGCCGGTGATAGAATAGCGCGGAGCGCACGCGGGAACCACTTTAGGACTTATTTTTATTGGACATTTTTTTTCTGTCTGGCCGTTCCGGCTGAGCCGAGTACCGCGGAAAAGGGGTGTGTACCATCCCACACACAGCCGAGTCACGCGGGTGTGCGTACCTACGGCAAAAAGGCTGCACGTCGCTCGCCAACCCCTTCTTTGCCTTCTCGTCCGAGGCATTCCCTTTCTCGAGAGTACACCGGCACGGCGCAACGGAAGAAAGAAGAGAAAGAAAGAGAGAGAGAGAGAAAGGGCTCTATTAATAGACGACGCACTTATACTTCGAAAAGCGGTGGCGGGTTTATTGATGCTCGACGAATATCAGGGTTCACGGCGCGGGGGGAAAAAGTGGAGACGAGCGAAGCAACAGGGAACGCGAAGTGCGCTGGAACGGGATAAAAAGAAACGGCAGAAGAAGAAATGGGAAAAAACCACCTGAAGACCTCGTCGATCGACCCGAGTCGGCTCGGTATCGATGAAAAGCACAGCGCGCTGGCATAACTGCAATGGGGGTCATGAACAAGGTCAATAACCACGTACAATCCTGCTGAAATACTTTCGATCGAACGTGGAGGCTGCGAGAATCGCGGCGATTGGAACAAAGCAACGCCGTGACGCTGTCAATCGATGTGATTTCCAATCGTGGTAACGCTGTAGTAAATTCGAGAGACTACTCGTTCGAGTAATTGCTGAATCAGTAATGAAAATTTACTTAAAAACCAATTTTCAATGAAATAGCAAACGTCGATCAATGAGACTAATGCACCCAGCCAACATCGATAAACCGTAATGTGTTCTTTCCGGTCAGTGACCTCGAACAAGTACAAAACAGTTAGTGAATCATATTCACATATCGCGCATCCCTGTCGTCGAAGGGTTCAAGAAACGATAGAAATCACGGAGCAAAAAGATCATCTGTTAAGTGCAGCGACGAAGAAACTGAGAGAAAGGGAAAGAAACGGTGTCGCTAACTCCACTAATTCACCACTCGAGTGACCGTCCTCGAGACAAGAGTACTCTCACTCGGTGTGCCTATGCCTACATAAATATCCTTCTGTTCGCTCTCGTAGCGCGCGAAGAGAAATACCGAGCAAAAGAAACGGACAGAAAGAGTGCTCGCTCTCCCTCTCGCGTAGCCGGTTACCAGTAACCTATTGTTCTTCCCTTCGATACGTCCTTCGTGACATCAAATTTAACGACCGCCAGGACTTTATACATATTTCATCTCGTTTCGGATCGATTCGTCGAAAACGATCAGCAATTTCGAGGAAATACGAACGATTGAGAGAATCTACAGAATTGTGAGGGGATTATGGTCGTAAAATGAAAGCTTTAAGGCGACTCGTTTAAGAGATTTCATTTCACGGGGACGAAAACATTATTTACAATTTATGCCAACATAAAGGGTAATAGAATATTTTACATTTATATTAACGTATGAAGATGAAAATGAGTATTGGACATTCCAGCACGATATTATCCTGATTAAAATCGATAAATTTTGAACGTACGTTTATATGAATTGATCAAAGTCCGAAAATGTCCATGGACGAACACTCTTGGCTCTTGTCATCTTGATCATCGCTGTTATTATTGTAATTAAATGCAAACGTACAAAGCTCACGGACTCGCACTATCGTTTCCGCTTCCGGCACGGAGAAACGGGAAGACGATCCAAGTTCGCCAACAAATATCGTACATTCACAATGTATACAGTGAAAACCTCTATTTCTAGTCGCGGATTGATAAGCAACGGTACCAACTAATTACCACTTGCGAGTGATAAGACTAGATTGCGAGCAGCGACATAAACGTCCACGTTTAATCTTATTTCTCCTCGTCAACCGATTTTTCGCGAAGCTGAGGCTGAAGCGAACTCGGAGTATCAAACGTATCTTATTACCCCGGAAAATTACGCCAGGATGCTAATAACGAATACCAACGATTTTTATTCGGCAGATTTAATGACGAGCGCCAAACGAATGAACTTGAAATGCATACGTATGCAAATTGCCTCTTAACATAATATAGTAGATAAAGGCGTAGAAGGCCGTGCAAATTGGTCTGATAGGCATGTATCGTATTTATGTAAATGATTACCATTGTTAATACGTTTTTATCTGTGAATCTGTACTTACACCTACCATACTATTCTATATAGTATATCATGTCGCGTTTTTGCACGGTAAAAACAGGGTTTTCATGAATGACACAATCGAAACTTTCTCGGAAAAGCAAACGGGTCACCATTCGAGTTATTAATTATTTTCAAAAATGAAATATGTACGTATGTCTAAAAATGATTGAAGTGTCAAATGAAAAAATAAAAGCTGGATTAAATGTTCTGAGAGTTATCGTTATTTTCTGAAAAAGAATATATCTAATTCTGTTCCAGTCCCTCTAACTGTAGATCTGAAATTTCATCCACTCGTTTGTGAATTTTTGAACATTAGTATACCTATGCGATGCGAATGAGTGGAGGCTTGAAATCGTTGATAACGACCTGCGAAACCGTTTCGGGACCTCGAAAACAGACGTCAAGCGAATTAAGTTTAACCTTGCCCGTTCGCGTTAACCTTGTTCGGTTTGCTCGAATCGAGCGTGCCGCGCGCCCACGTAGGAGCCGTGAAAGTGATGTCAAAGGTACACGTACGCGACGCCCGTATTCCCCAGAAAAATTCCGAATAAAAATAAGAGATATCTCAAGAATTACCCGCGTACGACCTTGCGTTAACGATAAACGATAATAAATGTTTTGATCGAAGCCGATGACCACACCTGTAGCGTTTGGCAACGCCGTGGGTGTGGACACAGATGTCCTCGGAACGAATACGATCACGCAAAGCTCTGAAGCAAAGTCGATGTACGTGGAATTACATGCCCGAGAAATAAAGATATCCACGACGAACCCGTTCCAGTGACACCGAGACGGGTGTCTGCTGTCCCTTCGATATTTTCCGGATCATTGAACACCATTGCCGGATACGTCATCGTACGGATAGCTCGTGTCGAACACGCCATCCTCGTGCTCTGACATGTACGCGCTAATATGGTCAGCGAGAGTAATTCGGATTATCCTCGTTAATCATCTATGCCCTCCCGAATACGAGTCATTGTACGATAATGACAATGAAATGTTCGATAAACGGAAAGAGCGGAACGAACACGTTTCAAAGTCACGCGTACACTATCACCTTGACCTCGGAAAATCAGTCGCGTTTTGACAGGAACGAAATGACGCCGCGTAACCGCGGAACGTATACTACGTACATGCAATGTATGTTAGCACTCACCGTAGCCGACGATCCCCGTGCTAGTCTTTCCGACGAATCCACGAGATCCTTGCGGGGGATGAAATCCTGTCGCACAAGCGTCACGCACAGTGTCAACCACGTCGAGGTTATATATACTTCCCGCGAACAAACGGCCGTGACCAAGAGAAGGAGGCTTTGCCGGTATAACCACGAAAGCACTCGCGCGATTCTGTTCGAACGCGTATCTCGAGTGCTGCGCGATACGATATCGATGGACCTCGGGCCGCCATGCACTGACTGTCGAGACTGCGGCCGCTTGTCTCGCGCATGTCTTCATCGAACGCGCGCGCATCTCCCGTTTCGAACGACTCGTGGGACGCCGGGAGAGCTCGGTGACGGCGGCATCTGAAAATGACCCGCGGAACTTCTGTTGAATTTCAAATTAACATCGATTGCGCAATGTTCAAAATCTGTTTCAGACATTAAAATAAATAAATTACCAATGTACAATATAAATGTATAAGGGAAGTACTTGAAATAAATTGGGCATACGTATTTTTATTATTGAACATTCGTAATGAACAATTATTATTCCCTTCGTAATCCTTACGATCTCTCCTATATGAATTTCACCAAGAAAGCTACATAATTACAATAAATCTGTAAAATTATTTTATATAAACCAATTGACGATAAAATAGAGAACCAGGCAACGCGACCGTCACTCGGCAATTAGTCGTCTGCTGGTTCTATCGCATGTCGATTCAAATGCGATGGTACATAAAATACGCAAAGATAAATCATTTTTAAATTTAGTTATTATTAAAACCAAAGACCATCGTTCGAATTTATTACAAAAATACAACGCTAGAAAAAATATCTTACCTAAGAAATCTAAGCCTCTTCCTCGAAAATGATCGTAGCAATTTATCATAATGCTTAAGGATGTATTGGCTATATAAAAGGTATAGCCAATACATCCTTAAGCAGAGGCTTCGTTACTCTCGTTTGCATCTACTCAGGTATATCCAATACCGGTTAAATGGCCGGAAACATCCTTGATTCAGTAACGAGCATGGTGTTCATGATCGTGTGAGTACCAAAGAACAACATCATCGGACTAAGGATCTGACTGAATGACTCTCACCTGAAACAGTCGTGGTCTTGCCTCCGCGGATCACAGACGCGTTTCTCTCGGGTTGCAGCAGCACCAAAAGTTTCTTCGTTTTTCGAATAACAGAGGAGAACTTGACAACTACTCGTATGTACATTCGCAATCTACTCGTTTAATATATTTGAAATAAATTATGCAATTTAATATCTCTCTTTTTCTCCTGTTATTTCAATTGTTATGTTTTATTCATATCTCTCGTAATTATCATTGACAGTTATTTGAATTATATTTATACAATGATTACGTGTCTTTAATATTTGTAACATGACCTCTTAGCATGTATTATGCTAACTCATTACTTTTAATTAATTCATTTATTATATTTGCATATCTTGACGAATCTGGGAAAAACCGCATTCCGGAAAGAATTTCCTCTGTGCAATCGTAATGAATCGCATTAAAGTGTACACGTGCTCTGTTTTTCTTCTCTCAACACAATAGGAGGATATTCATACGTCAGAAGCACCAGCGTCGCAGGTTCTTCGCTTATCTTCGAAATAGCCATGTATCGAAACCTGCTGTGGACCTGTCTGAGCTGCCTCTGCTTTCTCGAGCTCATCGCGGCCAATGCTCCGGTAGTTAAGATAAAAAATGGGACCTTGTCGGGGCTAACTATGAAAACTAGACGGGGCAGGGAGTTCATCGGATTCCGCGGAATTCCGTACGCGCTGCCACCCCTTAAGAAGCTCAGATTTGAGGTAAATTCCTAATCTGATACTACAGATTTTTATATAAAATAAGTTATTTATAGTATCAATATAAAAAAATGTGTTTTAGATAAAGATTTATTTTATCGTTTGGATATTGAAATATTAATTAATTTTATTATAAATGGATATAGCTCTCAGTCTGTTCGATTATAATTAATATCACATTAATATAATCTCTTTATGTCATATTGTAATTTTTATAGCTATGTTTACTTAATTGCTATTTCTATAGCTATGTTAAGCTTACTCGCATTAATAGCAGGCCTACTGTAAACTAGAAGAAAAAATATTCTGAACACGTGCTTCTATATGCAAATAATATCGAATTACATAAAAGATTTCCTAGTACATGTGTACCTTGGTATTTTCCTTGTCAATGATTTCATGTTGTAATAAAAAAGAAGTGAACTATTCGCAGAACATCTAACGAGTTATACACTGTTTTCAAAAGCAAGGGAAAACTATAGTACAAAATGTATTATTAATTTGCAGGTGTACTGAGTTGTGTTTATTCGATTCAGTTCGATTCGTAGTCTCATCTTAATGGAATCTCATCGTATAGGTTTAAATGCAATTACAAAACTTGATATTTTTTTAAACGCAAATGCGATTAAATTGCTTTTATCTCAAGAATTTCGAGCGAACTATTTCGAACAGGCGTATAGAAAAAAACAGAATTTTCCGTCATCAAACTGGAAATTTGTTTTCGTTAACGCGTATCAGTGATGTAATTTTACGTTCAGTTACGAAAGTCACGTGAATACATTAACTATGACAACTTCTCATGAACCTAATGAGCGCGAAGGTTACAACTTTTCCCCCTACACAAACCAGTTCTCGTTTTAAATATTGACACTGTAATCACTCTTTCTATCTATCTATTTTATATTATATTACATTCATAATCTTAGAAAATTAAATAATCGTATTTCTACTTGATGAATTGCTGTTACTCTCGTAAAATTCAATAAAATTATCACTACGTACTCTTAGTCTAAACTCTCTCTTTAAAGCGAATTCAAGTCACGCAGGTAATATTCGCGTGCGTATGCAACCAGAACTTAGCCAGTTAAACCAACACACGATTACGACCCACTGCGAATCAGATGTTTTATGTTAACAATTATTTTATCTCGGGAACACCAATTATGTCAGGACTTATACTACTAATAACGTGCATTCACAGGCACCGCAGCCAGCAGCAGCCTGGGACGGAGTGCTAGAAGCTAAGGAGGACGCCAACATTTGCACGCAAAGAAATATCTACACTCATCAAGAAGAAATCGTCGGTGACGAGGATTGTCTCTACTTAAACGTTTACACACCAAAATTACCCAAGGAAAGCGATAAACTGAAGGCTGGATTTCCGGTTATGATTTGGCTCCATGGCTGTGGTTGGATCTGCGGTGCTGGTCACTCGGAATTCTATAATCCTAAATTTCTATTGGATCACGACGTGATCCTCGTCACCGTGAATTACAGGTGAGAAACCGAGAAATCACGTTCACACGCGTATTTATTAATAAATTCTTTTCACAGACTCGGACCCTTGGGATTTTTGAGCACGGAGGATACAGTGTGTCCAGGAAATAATGGATTGAAGGACCAAGCACTCTCCATTCGATGGGTACATGAAAATATCGCCGCCTTCGGTGGTGACCCGAATTTGGTGACTATCTTTGGAGAAAGTGCTGGTGGTGCCAGTGTCCATTATCACATGATGAGCGATTTGACGAAAGGTGAATAATTTTTGTTGCATTGAAATGATAGAATAATAGAATCTGATCTCCTCCGTCGCCTACATATTCAGTAAAAAATGAATTTTAATTCAGACAAAATGTCAAGATTAATTTACATACGTTGACACCTTGCGTCGGATAGATTGTCAAATTTTAACATTTCGAAGATTGTGTTTTACGACGGCGACAAAACGCATATCTTAAAAATTGCGCAACGGCAAGTGGACTAGAAGTTGAAACAGCTAACACATGCGCAGGCCGTTTTCACGGTTCATAATATACGTTGCACTAATCATGACATAATTCTCCTTTAGACAAGGATACGAAGTTTCGTAACAGGTTTTTGATTAAGCGCGTAATAAAGGTAAGTTTTCGCAGACGACTACATTGAATGTAACTTGAGATGATAAGGAAAAACCTAGTTTAGAAATTGCAATCGAAATGAGATGAAATGAAGAGCACGGCCTAATTGTGTTTCTCATTAGCTGTCTAGTAGATCTCGACGGCCGATGATGAAGAAGATTGTGTAATGCATCAATTATTTTTTTACTATCCTTTGTGTTGAAAATAGGACTTTTCCAACGCGCGATTTCGCAAAGCGGTAACGGCCATTGCCCTTGGGCCTTCGGCAGGCCGGGTTCGGCAAAGAAGAAGGCCACCAAGGTGGCTGAGCTCCTAGGTTGTCCTTCCAAAGATTCGAAAAAACTCATCGACTGTCTACGGTCGAAGGACGCCATAGATATTATCGGCACCGACCGCGCGTTCCAGGTAAGTGCAATTATATTTAATTTCAATTTTAAATTATCAAAATACGGTTCTAAACAGACCATCTTTGACGTTGTAAGGAAGCAATTATTTTATTATGTAAAAGAAACAAATGATTTAATGAGAATAAATAATGACCGAAGGGATAGGCTTGATACATAATCATGGTATGTCTCATACCATCGATCACATTTTAATACTTATTATCTGTAATTATTATCTGATATATCTGGCATGCGTGTCACGCCCGATCGCCAGTTACATTTGCATATCTGCGTACGTATACATACTTATAAGTCACTGTCGTCTGTTCAGTCATACGTGTTTTTAAATAAGTTCTGTTGATGTTCACATAAACTGTTTCGACACGTAGATTGAATAAATAAACTGGCAAGCCTAGGATAAAGTATTTTGCATACTAAACAACAGCACCTCATTGATTCGGTTTTTAAGTTAATCCGTATTTAAGTACATGTTCGATGCAAACAATTTTTAATTATGGAATAATATGGTTCGATCTTGTGTTTCGTATTCGGACGTATCATTAAACAGCAGGATCTGAATCATAAATTCTCTAAGAATGTTTGTCATTCCCTATTAAGAAACAGATTTTGCAGATATTTGTTTTTTATAGCAGATTGCGATCTAATGAAATCCCCATTCCTCTAGATTCCAAGAGCAACTCAATCAAATGCTGAGATCTGATTCTGTAGAATTTACAAATCATTGAGATAGGCTTGTCAATTACTTGGATTTTACGAAACGATTCGACTAACTTCTTTCAATTCCTACTCGATCTATATGCGAAAGATTAATGTGTCACGTACCTAGTCAAACAAGTTTCAATCAAAGCTTGTGTGTGCATTGATAATTGCGCGGGCGAACCTTGGCATTGAAAACGAATAGCGTGTGTCGTACGACCATAGACGATGACGTTTATAAATTGCTATTCTTACATAAGAGTCTTGATATCAGAAATCACTGAAAAAGTAGTATTAAGCGACTACATAATACATATTTAATAATGTTGTAGAAGTACATACAGCACGTCACGTTCTCAGGATTCATATTAGCTATTTATGCGTTCCTACGTATGTACGTACGTACGTTCATTGTAAGTTAAACAAGTTCTTACCTCACAGAAGTTTTGAATGAATTTTACTTGACGGTAGAATTTTCGCAATTCGATTTATCGATAACCTACTTAGTCGAGTAGCGACTGGCATGACATGATAGATAAGTGGTTCCTAATTCTAAGAAAACCAGCTCCGTGTTCGTGAATATATTAACTTGCCTATTCATACGCATACTGTCCTAATTAAATCAATCCTTACGAAATTACGATAATCCTTGCTACTATTCACAAGGGAAATAAATTAGTACTCGCTGTAAAATCGTTCGGCTAGAGAAGCATGTTATAGCACGATTGCAAGTGAAAGTGGACACGAAATGAAGCGATAAATCGGCTGCATTGTCCTCCGAGGAGTTTCTACCTGCAGTCCCGAGGCTTTAAAATACATTTAACGCGAATTCAAAAGAGATTAATCGCGCAGGAAACAATTAAGGTGCAGCAGTTTTATTTCCTTTTACTAAGAATAATGATTTCTTAATCTACGATTAAGAAATATCCATGTACCGAGAATTATTTTTTATCATCAAATCAGAGGATGAATATTTCAATAATTAATTACAATCACGACTGTGATTTATTTTTTCAAATTATTATACTTTGGACGTTTTGCAAATTACATACACTTTTCATGTCTTCTTATCTCCGATTTTATCGTAAATGTTTTATAGCCTCTATAATGGCAATCAATTTTCCAGGTATAATGAATAAGACTTCGATTTTCCTCTTTCTACTTTCTATTAGGTGTTCGGTTACTGCCCGATGATACCGTTCAGACCGATAGTTGAACCTGTTCATCCTGGCGCTTTCTTAACTGAAGATCCCGCGGTTTTATCGAAGCAAGGCCGCTTAGCGGACATACCATGGATGACGGGAGTTACGTCCGAGGAAGGATCTATCATAGTACCGGGTACGCACTTTTATACAAACCATCGTTTAACTATTAAAATCATCTACCTTTCGATTATCAGGATTGTATGCACTGGATCATGGAAAATTGATAAAAAAATTGAACAAGGACTTCTCTAACATTGCTCCAATAACGTTACTGTTCGGGGAGACGTGCCCGAAAGACGAGGAGAAACGCGTGGCCACCGAAATACGGAAATTTTATTTCGGCGATGCTCCGCTCGATAATTCCACGCGATTCAAAGTCATCGACGTGAGTACACAGAAACATTACACATGTTCATTCTGACGTATATTAAATCACAATGCTACTTTTATGCAAAGTTCCCACGTCTCAATAACCACGTGTTACAGATGTACAGCGATGCTTGGTTCACTCACGCGGCTTACACTTCCGTGCGTAACTACCTCGAGAAGCAGTCGGCGCCTGTGTATTACTATTACCTCGCGTACCGTGGAACCGCATCTTTCAGTATGATATTCGGCGATCCTGATAACGACTACGGCGTGTCACACGCGGATGAACTCCAGTATCTGTTCCCAGTCGGAGAACAATTGTTCAAGGAGAAACCATTGAGCAAGCAGGACCACCAAATGGTCGACACCATTACGAATCTTTGGTACAATTTTGCGAAAACTGGGTGAGCTTGCTGTACAACTCTTCATTAAAAAAATGTTAAACACTGAGATTAGACTAGATGGTCAATTATTTTTCAGTAACCCTACGCCAGAGGTATCGGACAAGATACCCATTAAATGGAAACCTGTAAGAACCGAAGCTCTCGAGTACCTTCACATAGGACAGGATCAAATCCGAATGTCGGAGAATCTCCTGATGGAGAGGATGAACTTCTGGGAAAGTTTACCGATACGACCGGATTTGGACGACGGCAAGCCGCGCAAAAGGAAAGACGAACTGTAAAAAATACTTCGAAACAGACTTTACGACTATCGCGCATGTAGTCGTAAAGTTTAACGCGCAACAGCCGCGAGACGGCATAAACTGTATATCTCCGTCCTCGAATACCACACGTTCACTTATGTTAAATTTCAAAAATCACACGCCCACACGCACACATTATTTCATGACGCGAAAAGTTAAAAGTCCGTGCACAGCGTTGTTAAACTCCGTTCAGACGAACATGCTGTGTACATATTATATCAAACATTAAAATAGTTTATTCAAGGAAACGACGTTACATCGTCCCTATTTTATCTTTTTGCTCTTTTTCACTTTGCCCTTTTTCTCTTTATCACTTTTCAATTTGCTCTTAGAAAATTTTATTGCAGAAACGTAAGGTGGTGCCAGTAATAATTCCATCGGTGGTGGCGACAATCGCACTACCATGCAAGCTATAGAATAATTTCTTGGGTGACAGCTTTCAAACACGTGAAACCTGTTCTTTCTTGAACCTAATTCTTGATACGGTAATTCGTAAACTATACTGAAATTGAGTCTCTCGCCTGTAAGCGCAAGAAATCTACGAATTACCCTAAATACAATTCGAATATTGTGCAGTCGAATGTGAAACGTACCAATTGTCTGAGCAGCGTTAGTAGTGAATTGCCCGACACAAGTCGACGCGAAGTAACTAGCTCGTGTAACGCAAGATCGCAATAACGCGGTGCCAATGCCATTACTTTGATGATCAGACTTTACGCAGATAACATCGATGCACACGGCGCTTTCCGAACCTATTCCGTAATACTGAGATTTGGTAGTAACCAAATTTTTCAGCTTCATTATTTGACGTAAAGTCTCTCCTTGCTACAAACGGAGGACGTCTAATCGTAATTTCGTACTAATTTCAAGATTATTTTGTAAAACTGAACGGTGTATTCATGTGAGAGCTTCGGAAACGAAGAGAATAAAAATTGCACATGTCGAGGATTAGATTGTTGAATAAGAAAATTGTTGATGACGTTACTTACCTCTTTCTGAATGTACCATTTGGACTTGTCGAACGGCGTGGCAATTAGCACGCCCACGAGATCATTGGTACCGTCTTGAACGGCGCACAAGCTCATCAGAGTTTCCATTTTCTTGAAAACCTTGGTCATGACCGATTTCATCGACAGGGCATCATCCGTAAGGCCAACAGCGGTGCACATCGGTTCCGTCGTACAGAAATGGCTCTGAAACGCACAGTTGAAAAATTAACGTTCATTATTTCCGCAAAAGTTTGCAAAACTACTAAACGAAATTACTCGTATGAGTAAGAAAAAAATAACGTAGAAAATCAAGTAAACGTTCCCAATGCTGGCAAATATTTTTTTATGCACAATAAACTGTACTTCGGACGGCGATGTACTAGTATAAACTTCAACGCTTCCATAAATCTGTCTAATCGAAGGTCAACAATTCGATAACCACTGGTCATTCTCTCCCAGACGATAGGAGCGTCGGCGCTTGGGGTCTCATCGTAACGCCGTACAGACCTAATCGCCGAGAGACGAAGTTTCAGAGCGAAATAATCGCTTTCCTTGATAGAACTTTTCTTACGATTATCATTGGCAAAAAACGGCCAGCCCCTTCCATACATATTATACATGTTGGTTTTTTAAAAAAAATTATTATCCCTGATTCCTTATTACTTTAAATTCAATGATTCAATTTTCAATACAAAATTTGGATAAAAGTTTCACGCGACATTTGAAATTTTTAGAGAAATTTTTTATTGTGAAGCTGCTGCAAATCGAATTAAACTGAACCCCAGTAGAACAGTAGATTCATTCTGTCAAAAATGGTACTAACAGCAGAGACTTTTTTGTTTCCTATTTTTTCTAATAATGTGACTGAACTGCATTTTGATATCCTTTCAGCGATAAGTTCAGAATTTATATAAAATGGAATCCTTTTTTTTTTATATGATGTACCACGCTCTTCCACTTCCTACTAATTTTATATAAATTTCACGATCTTTAAGTGTCCGTTTATGATCAATTTCCGAATCGTTTGTTTACCAAAATGGATATCGAGGAGAAAGACGAGCGCGCGTTAGAAGTGGAGGCGCGCATGAAGGCACCCCTTGAATGGGAATCGTCGGCCAAGTGTAAAATATTCGACCTAAAGGAGTCACAGTACGACGAAGCTTTGCGTCTGATCAAAGTTTAGCCATGAAACCGACTCGCGAACATAGTGTTGCATAATTGAAAATTCGCTCGAATAATAACGATTTAGTATCACCTCGCTGCGTGAACTAGATATTGAAGCAATAGTCATTACGAACAGTGGTTACTGCAATGTAATTTGATCGTTACAGCACCATCATTTCCGAGAAGACCCGATGTGCAAATCGATCTCGCTGCTCCAGGATCAGACATCCGTGAACGAGTATCTGGAGTACATAAGAACGTGGATGAAGGACACAACAAGCTTGGTCGCTACGAGTATCAAATCCGGCCGCGTGATCGGAGTCGCCGTGGCGCGAATCAACAGTGACCCTGAGAAAACTGATTCGTATGATCGTGCACAGGTACAATCATGATGGAAAAGCAAAGTGGTGGTCTCGAGATGGCAAAAAATTGAAATCGCTTCGTTAACAAGATGAATCCGTACGAATAGGCATAAATTAAAGTGATATATGAGTCAAACGAACGGATGGAGATTAAGTAGTTAAAATACCAATCGCAGTAGCAAAAACTCCGAATAATTGAGGGAGCTTGTTGAGTTCACGTTGCAGCATTCTGAAAACGAGTTTCTCGCTTCCATAGATCACCGAAGGAGCAATTCTGCGGAAAATTCTGCAGCTACTGGACAGACTAATGGTGCAAACGAAGGCGCACGAGAGGTTTCAGTGCACAGAATACTTCTGCGTTTACATTCTCTGCGTGCACCCGTCTTATCAAGAGAAAGGCGTCGAGATCGCGCTCCTCGACGCTTGCCTGCAGGTAGCAGTTACCTTAAAAATGCCGGCGATCGGCGGCGTTTTCACCAGCGGCGCCAATTTAACGAAGGCATTAAGCGTAGGTTTCGAACTACTTACGGAGATACGGTACAGTTCGTGGATCATCAACGACCGGGTCGTTTTCGATGATCCTGGCAGGGGAAACTACTCCGCCGCGTTTATGGGTAAACTCATACCGGAAGAGGAAGACCCGGAAAATGCTGAAGTATCATCTGCCAATACCACAGCTTAAATTATTGTCTCGCACGAAATATAAATGTTTCAATAATAAAATGTATTAGAAAACTGATAAATTAAATTCTGTCTAAAAACAAAGTTTGTTTCGACGATAAGCGATTATAGAAATTTTTATTCATTGGCAGAGCTTTTTTATGCGAATTATGAAATTATATCGATAGTAAAAATGGAGAATGTGCTCGTAAAAATTATTGTAAAATTAGGTATTGTATCGGTAACGCTGGAAATGACAGTGAATACTGAAAAATCGAGTTTCATGGTAAATCTACTGCATTACCAGCGCACCAGTTTAATATCCGATTGCGAGGGACTGTACTTAGATGCCGCCAGCTACGATTTTAAACGTGCCGATACCATTTTCCGAGAATTTCCCGTGGGTCTCCTCACGACACCCGTTCATCATTCATCCCTACCCCTGCGCGCCGGTTACTTTTGAATTCAGCATGCGAGGGATCGAGAATTCACCCCACGTGAAGGGCGGCTCTGTGCAATGAAGCTTCACCCTATAGGACGAGAGAGACTATAATGCCGTCCAGGCCAAGTTGCGCCATTTTATTAATCCAGAAACAATAGTGATTCCAACAATTTTTCTTGATTCCCGACATTTTGTCGTCAACATACTTTTAATATTTAATTAGGTAAGTACTTCAAAAGAGTTAAACCAGATTCAAACGAGGAGTTGACAAATTTTTGAATTTGTACGAAATTATGATCAGCTTGTAATATAGTGATTTCAATAGATGTTAATTCGATGATAAAAAATTATTATAACTTAATGAGGAAGATGAAACAACTACTATTTGTAATTTATAATAAAAGAAAATCAAACTCCGTTGGACATCTTTATTTGACGTACTTCAATTATAATCTCTATTAATATCATCGTATTTACTAAAAATTCGTTTCTTTTATTCATGTGTTCGT